TGGAGTGAATTTGATCCATCGTGACCCAACACACTCCCAATAAATAATTTTATTAAATAAAAAACAAAAAATATATCCAAATAAACTTCCCCGAGAGGGTTGTGATGTTGCTTTATCAAAGTCAATATAAAACAACGTAAGCTCAAACCCAAAGTAGCCAAAAACTTGTATCTTCGCCAAGAGTCTGTTTGAATAGAAATGATTTGATGAGAAATAATTAGAAAGAACAGAAATTGTGAATTCTTTTTATTTAGGTCTAAGTGATACGAAATAATAAGAAATGGAGAGCGAGAAATTTGCTTTTGCTTTCTAGGAACTAGTGGTGATGGTGAGCAAATAATTCAATATTTACTGAATTTGTTTAAATTATTAAAAATTATTCTTATAAATATACTAATATAAAATAAAATAAAATAAACAATTTAGTAAAACCATTCATATTTTTCACCTTTTTTTATTACGATTCAAGTAAAATGGTGAAAAAAAAAATCAACTTTTTTAAAAAAAATTTCTTAACTAATTCCCATCCACTAGTACATGTTTCGTTGACTTGTTATTCCATTAAAAATTCATTACAAGATACATGAATAAACAAACAAAGGACAATATGTTAATACAAAGTTTGATGTTCTAATTGAACTATAAGAAACTCTTGTGATATAAACAACAAACGCGGGTCGCTGACAAATGAGCATAATTTGATTTCATTAAACCACAAATAATCAGATTGTTAAAAAGATTAAATGAAACTTGATAATACCCAACTCTAATTTATTAAAAAAAAAATTATGCTAAACCAAACACCTCTTTCATTTCGTTCGTCCACTAATTTCATCAGAAATAATATCTACCTACTTTTTTAGGATATAGCTATTTAAAACAGGATTTAAAATTACAGATTTTTAAATTAGAAATCCTAATAGAAAAGGATATCATAATACCATATATATCAAGAGGCAGTTGTCAAAAAACATATGACATTTTGCAAGTTAAAGAATTTCATCTCTCTCCCCCTCCCTCCCCCTCTCTCTCTTTCTATATATATATGTGTGTGTGTATGTATTTATGTATGTATATTATTTCCTTTTTACTTTTCTTATTGGGATTGCTAAAATGTCCTAATCAAGACATTGACATGCTAACTTTATTCTGTTCACTAAATTTTGGATAATTTGCACGTGTGGGTGTATCTAATGATTTGAACTAACAGGCAAAAAGAAAAGGAACAAGGAAGGAGAATTCTTTAAGAATGTTCTAATCAAGATAATATTATTACTCAAAAATGTCTAAGGTAATTTTCATTTTCAAAAATGGCCTGTTCTTCAGGGTCATCATCAATCATAAACCTTCAGTCCTAACCCAAGTAGCAACTTCACTTTTTAATAATACCCAATTCTTAACAGAAATACGTCTTAAAATTCTCAATAATATGGATTTACAAATACAACAAATAAACACACACATACAGAAAGAAAATAAAGGAAGAAAGATTATGTTCCAATCTAAAAGTAATCAATTAAAATTATCATATGCTCATCTTAACAGCAAACATAGACATGATTGGTTTTATGGGCTCTCTTGAAAGCTAACCATTCCATTATAGAAATTTCTGTTTTTGCTTGTTTCATTTATTTTAAAAGTCCAATTTAATTTAATCAACGTAAGTTTTTTTTTTCTTTTTTACTATATAGATATTGTCACGGCCCAAATATGGGCCCATGACCAGCACTAAGGTCCTCGACCCTAATCGGCCTCACAACAAGACACCAAGCTCAAAAAAACAAACAAAACATACATAAATATCTCATATTATCCAAATACAACACCAGAATCCTGTCTGAGTAATAAATGAGTATCAGATGGCAAAAAGGTAAGCAAAAGAACATGCCTGTGCAGTAATTAAATCTACAGACAACCACCCTAACTCTGGCATGCTACTTGAGAACAGCAACCAAATTTGAAAAGTTTATAAAATGTGAGTCACGAAACTCAGTGAGTACAGATGATACTTAAGTTATGTATCACATCACAAGTCCAAAACCATACATATATATATATATATATATACAATGAGATATATATATATACAATGAGTAGTACCATCATCAAAACATACATATGTGGGTGTACAATAATCACTAAGAGTCCAGTCTCGATCAGAGAAATCCTCCGTCTCACGATCAGATCCAACACAATCACAAACCATGCTCTTGATTGAGAGGCATCCTCTATCTTACGACCAGAGCAACACATCATGCCCATCAGGACAATCATACCGCACTCCTAGTCGAAAGGCATCTTCCATCTCACGACCGAAGTAACATGCCCACTAGGGTAACACGGTCTCAGTGCATCACACAACTCCCTACATGCCAAGTCAAATAGATGCACATACATATACAGTCCAAAATATCAAAAATAATATCACATATTAACATAACTCACTGATAGTTTATAAAACACATAACACATATTTAAAGTATAACATATAATTAAAATACAGTTTACAAAACTACATAATCATCATGTTAGAAAACACAGTAAGAAAAACACATATATAGAAAAGGTATTATCACTCACAGTACAGAAGTTAAGCAAAAAAGGAAGTCCCAATCACCCTCACCCAACTCATTCATCTTGGTGCACCTCCACTGATGTATCTGTAACTAAAATCACACAAAACTATCATCATCACAAAACCACCACAAGAAATAGGCTCGGCAGCCCAAAATTGGACTTAAATCCTTTCCTGACACCTTGGCACACATCTTAAGCCACCACTACCCAATCACCAGGACCCACATGACTCACAACACTAGTTAATTTAACTCAACAACCTTCAAACTATAGTGAGCAAGCCTCCAAAACCCTTAAACTATAGTGAACCGACCTCCAAAACCTCCGAATTGACCTAAACTAGTCTAAAACTACCTCAAACTAAACTGAACTGATCACAAAACCCTCAAAATTGAATTCAAAAGCCCCAAAAATCCTAGGAACCGATCTAAATTGGTCAAGAATCGCCCAAAATAAGGCTAAATCGACTACCAAAACCCTTAACTTGGCTTAACCGAGCTGATTCAACCAAAAACACCAAATTTTCAGTCCAATCGAACCCCCGAACCCACATGGTCCAACAGTTCTCATCCTCTTGAATCCAGAACCAATTCAACTTTTCAAAACTGAGTTAATTTGACAACTGAACCGACCGGTCAAACCCACTAGCCGATTCAGTCAAACCTCCCCCCTTTTTTTCACCAGCTTGGCTTGCTGGCTTGGCTCACCGGCTCAAGCCACCAGCTCGGGCCAAGCTCATCGACTCGGCAAGCCTGCTTACGGCTTAGGCTCGTCGACTTAGGCCCCCCTGCCTAGCCTAAGGCTCTGCCCAACTTGCTTGGGGCCCCCTTGAGCCTAGTCTAGCCCAAGCCTTTCAGGCCTAGCCCCGGACCTAACCTGAAACCAATCCTGCTTGAACCCGGATCCCATCCGAGTTCATCCCTATTGCCCGGAAAGATGACCTGGACCCTAAAAACTTGGAAAAACCTCAAAAAACAACATATCTCAACAATCTAAAATAAAACTTGGTCTACAAGCTCCGACAACTCAATTCGAACACTTTAATCGAATAAAAATTGATTAAATCACATCAAAATGCCCCAAACACTTGCTTGACTCTCCACAGCTCCATTGGCCAGCAAAACCGGAAATCCTCCTCTCTCTTTGTCTCTCTCTAGTTCTCGAAATAAGTTGAGGGCAAATGTACATCCACCTGCCTCGCACAAGAAGGACAAGCTTTTATGCAAAGATCAACCCTCAACTACTCCTAATCATCACAACATGCCCGATTTTTAGTTCAAGTTACTATTCCTGACAAAAATTCTGTCAAATTATAATTTAGCCTTCAAGTTTTGGTTCCTCTCAATCAGGTCCCCGGGCAACTTTTAATTTGGCCTTGCTAATTTTTAATCCTTTTAATTTAGTCCATTAATCTTAATAAAAGTAAAATTAGGTTATTATAGATATATGATAAAATTTTTGTATATGTATATATATTAATTTTACATATAGGTGTACAAAAAAATAAAAAGAATTTGTTGAGACTCAAAACTAGTTAGAAACACCGCGTTCTCTTTTATTTATTTGAATTTGGGTGTCTGCTGCTGAGCGTTTGGGTGCACCCGAATATCAGAATTCTATTTTTGAAAGTATTATCCGTATCTGCCATTGCAAGTACAAAAAGTCAAGTTAGAAATGAAACAAAGGGGAGAAGGAATTTATAGCAGGGAGAGAAGAGGTCGAATTGATAGTTGGAAAAAGAGAACTTTGAATTGGAAGTCTCATCGGACCAAGGGCCCCGACCCATATGCTTTTCTTTCTATTATTTAATAATAATATATTATGTGTACAAATTTTTTAATTTTTAATTTTTTATTTAATATTTAATTAAATAAAAATATTTTTTAAATAAAAAAATAAATTATTTTATATTTCACTTTTAAATTTAAAAAATAAAAAATAAAATAAATTTATTTTAAAAAATAGTATACATGACATATTATTGATGAGTGTTAAAGTGCGGTGACTAGCATCAAATAAATCCTTTTATTCTTGGGACAAAGCTTGCAAAAACTTTGATTGGCCTAAAATGCCATCTCTCACGGTCTCCCCCCATATGTTACTTCAATTCAAGGCAAATGAAATCGAAAATTTAACCAAGAGGGCATCTTGCAGAGGAATGCTGACAAGCAACACCAGCAATCCTCCAATCCACAGCAGACACGTGTCAATCCCTCCGAATCTTAACTACGTTTGATCCCAGCTATGTGGGTCATGGGTCATCCGCATTCCACTTGCCCCTTAAGCGCTCAGACACAGCGTCTAGTCTAGATCTTCCACTTCCACGTCCAAGTCAACGTTCAATACACAACGCTGTCTTCCCCCTCTCTCCTCTCTGCTCTCCCTCCAGAGACGAGAGAGCATAGCAAAAACAGGGGAAGGAGATGACAGTGATGAAGATGGGGATGAATATGAAATCGGAGACGATGACGCTGATTTTGGTGAACCTGGCGGGTATCATGGAAAGAGCAGACGAATCTCTGCTTCCGGGTGTGTACAAGGAGGTGGGGGCGGCTCTGCACACTGATCCAACTGGACTCGGGTCCCTGACTCTCTTCAGATCCCTAGTGCAGACCTCTTGCTATCCCCTAGCCGCCTACCTCGCCCTCCGCTACAACCGCGCCCATGTCATCGCCTTAGGGCATTCCTCTGGGCCGCCGCCACTTTTCTAGTCGCCTTCTCCTCCACTTTCCTTGAGGTTGTCTTTCTCTCTCTTTTCTAGGGGAATGTGTTTTGTGTTGTCAGGTTGTTTTTCGTTTGATGTGTAAATCCGCTGGAATTTGATTAGTCTGGAGAGCTGAGAAATTGGGTTTTTGCAATGATGTACTTGATGGATTTTATAATATATGGTTTTTGTGTGTTTGGGTGACTTAAACAAGGAACATGGTAACTGCAGAGTGTGTCGGATGTCAAGCTCTAATGTTTGACTTGTTTCACATCGTATTATTTCCTCATTTATGTGAAAACAAGAAATGCATTGTTTCATAGCTTGTTACTCCTTGTGCAGTGCAAGTTTTGTTTGGACTGAGTCATTCATTATGGATTGCCATTTTCATTTGGCTTTATGCATGCATTATTTATCTATTGTTAATGGGGGATTCATAGCTTTTGATGGAGAATATTGGAACTTCTCCTCAGAATATATTGGCTTGAAATTTGTCAATATAAAGTTTTTCACCCTTGACGGTTCAACTAGTTATGTCAAAAGTGAATTTATCTCAAGTCAAGAACACCAAGCCATGGAAAACACAGCTTAAGATCAAGCTATCATTATTCCAAAGCAACAAGTTCCAATTGAAACTCGTATCAAGTTTATTAATCCTTGGACTTTAGCCAAAATAGGGGAGGGTTGAGATTGCTATATTTGTATAATTGATGCTTGTAATCATTGAAGAAATTGTCAATATGACACGGGAGTATTTATTTTCCATCATGAAATATATAGTGTCATCTGTTGCTTAGTTGTTTAAACTGGCTGTCCAGGTGGCAATATCGAGAGGTCTGAATGGTATAGGACTTGCCATAGTCACACCAGCCATTCAATCCCTTGTTGCAGACTCAACTGATGAGACCAATCGTGGTATGGCCTTTGGATGGCTACAATTGACAGGAAATATTGGCTCAATCATTGGTGGGCTATGTGCAGTGCTTATTGCTTCTACGTCCTTCATGGGTATCCCTGGATGGAGAGTAGCTTTCCATCTGGTTGGTCTAATCAGTGTTACAGTTGGTATTTTGGTCCGCCTCTTTGCCAGTGATCCCCGCCATTCTGATTCTCAACCAAAGAATGAAATCCAACATAAATCCTTCCGTTCAGAACTCAAGGATGTGCTTATACAAGCGAAATCAGTAATGCAAATACCATCTTTCCAAATAATTGTGGCCCAAGGTGTGTTTGGATCTTTTCCCTGGTCAGCCATGTCTTTTTGCCCTATGTGGTTAGAGCTTATTGGCTTCTCTCACAAGACAGTGGCATTGTTATGGACGCTTTTTGTCATTGCTGGTTCACTTGGAGGTCTATTTGGAGGGTGGTTGGGGGATAGGCTTGCCAACCCTTTCCAAATTCAGGGAGAATAATTCTTTCACAGATAAGCTCTGGTTCAGCTATCCCTCTAGCTGCATTATTGCTATTAGGGTTGCCTGATGATCCTTCTACTGCATTTCTGCACGGTATGGTCTTGTTCATCATGGGATTAAGCATATCGTGGAATGGTCCAGCTACAAACAAGTATGTCTCTTCAACTTGCAAAATACACTTATGTATGGTGTATTGGAAGTGCAAATATGAGTTTGGTTACTTTTCACTCACTATTCTATTGCACCTCCAAATATCGTTAGAGTACATGCAACTTGTTAATTTAGACTACTTTGTGAGCAAGTGGTTATAAAACATTAGTAAATTTCAATTATTTTTTCCCAGTGGGAGAGGGAGAAGCATTGCTAAATTTTGATTTGCCACTCACTTCAACTTGAAGATTCCTTGGGGAAGTAGATTTGCAATGCATTAATATATGGTCATATTTATTTTAGCAAAATGGAAACTAAAATATATGGCTGGCTTTGCGCAAGTGCAGTCCTGTTGCTTACTCCCTCATGGACTTTCAAAGAACAAGGCCAATTTATTGATTTAAAACTTGAACCGGCAAAGAGAGGATGCAACAGAAGCACTTAACCTGGGCGTGAGACACCCATCATATATCTGAACTCACACTACTTTTGACTTTTAAAAGAAATTGAATGCAATTTTGCAACCAGTTCCAAATTGATTAGTAAGCAACAAGTGTCCATCTGAATGGTAGATGAAGCAAGGAAGAGAATATGGTAACTATAGGAGCCAAGCTGTTTGGCAAGTGTTGTTTGTGACATTTTAACCCAATTTCATGTTGATCTGCTTGAAAAACAAACAGAAGTGCCCATCGTAATATTAAAAGTTTCCCTTCTTCGGTGGAGGGGAAAACTATGGAATGAGCTACCTCCTCATAAGTTGGTGTTTCAGAAACTTGACCTCTTGTTGAATAATTTTAAAAGTAAAGCGTGGATTTTGTGGGGTAACTATTCTTCCATAGATACATGATAGCATAAGTTTAATTTTTTGTTAGGATAATTCTTGATTGAATTTTGTTTAAGAGCTGATATTTGCATCATGTATGTGGCTCGTTGCCATTAACTGCAGCGACTCAACTTTGTATGCATATAATATTTTATAGTAATGGCTTACGCCATTTATCTATTCTGATGCATTTGTCTATTTGAGTAATTCCTCCTTTTTTAAAAGAAAAAAAATTTTGCTTTCATAAAGTACTCCTTTTCTTAAACTATTTCCATGAAGTTGTGAGAAATCATAAAAGCATGACAAGCAAAGAAATTTTTACCCATGGGAAAAATCCAACTGTAAGTCCAAAGATTTCAGACAATTCTTCCAGATTTTATTCTTTTCATGTGTGTTACATCAGCATCAGATGAACTTTTGGAGACAACATGGACAATCTAGTATTTGAGTCCCCTATTCATTGTTGACATGTGTACAGTCCAATATTTGCAGAGATAGTTCCCGAGAGAATGCGTACCAGCATCTATGCTTTGGATCGATCTTTTGAGTCCATACTAGCTTCATTTGCTCCCCCAATCGTTGGCATTCTGGCTCAGCATGTTTTTGGATATAAACCAATTCCAAAAGGATCATCAGACTCAGAAGAAATTAAAACAGATCGAGAGAATGCCATACCACTTGCCAGGGCACTATACACAGCAATTGGCATTCCTTTTGTAATATGTTGCACTTTCTATTCCTTTCTCTACTGCTCTTATCCCAGGGACAGAGAGAGGGCAAGGATGCATGCTCTGATAGAATCGGAGATGCAAAGGATAGAGACTACTCCTTCGGCAGAAGAATACTCTCAAATTCATATTGTAGGATTGAATGAGCACCAGGAAAAGGAAAGAAGTGTGAGTGAGGTTGAATATGGAGAGGAAAGCCTTGATTTTGACGAGAATGATGAGAAGAAGCTACTTTCCAATAAGCTGCCACTGTCAGATTCAGTTGAATAGAACCACTTAGGGAGGAAAAGCACATAAACGCAATTTCGTTGACAGTTTCCCAATGTGGTAAGTGATTTCAAGAACCCATTTTAATTGCTGTTTATTTGCTCACACGTTGTCTGAGAACTGAGGTAGTAGAGCAGACCGTTTTTACATTAATCTCTACTAATTTGTTTTTTACCTTCAAGATATCCTATAATGTGAGTTATATTAGTCGTTGAAGTGCGTTCATTTCACCTGAATCAAGGTTTAAGATGGGAGAACTTAATCTCAAAATTATTCACCTGAATGAAGGTCAAAGAACAATATGCTCTGATTCTGAATAATCTGAAGTAACCCGGACAGTAAATTCATAACTTGGTCAGCTCAAATATTTCAGAAATTCAAGAACTTCTCTTGATGTTAATTTGATCTGCCAGTCAAATTTTATCCCCATCAGCAGATTAATCGCATTTATCCATCACTTTGGGTGATTAATAGCCACTATATTCTTGATTAATTCTACATGAGTTTGCCATTTGGTATTGATACATTGATAACTATATGCTTTTTAACTCTTTTGCAGGAACTTTTCGTCAACTTCCACACAACTTTCTTTTCTTTTTCTTTTTTTTTTTGGGGGGGGGGGGGGGGGAGGGGTGTGGGGGGAGGAGTAAAACTCTCTTATGTTAAAGAAGCAAATTTGTAAGTACTTTATAACTCAATCATTTTGCAATAATAAAGTTGGAGCTGAAATGGTTTTGTGTAACGAAACTGTCGTAGGCTTAGATTGAACAGGTTTTTGGTTTAGAATTCTGATGGTTCTGTGTGCATTAGCTCCAATATCACCTTTAACCCTCAACTCCAAGAAAGTTATATATGGAGGTGGTGTTTGTTGTAGCCTTTGAACTTAGCTTCGTGAAAGTGCATTTTTTCCCCCTTGTGGTTTTACGAAAGGGCTGAAGCCGGAATAGAAGGAAAACCACGCTAGAAGGCCCCGGGAGACGGGATTCCTAAAAGTGCTTTAAATGAAGTTTTGAAACAAAAAGCTTTTCGAAACTTTCTTGACCCAAATAATCAAGTTTGGATTAAAAAAACTTGGATTTTTTTTTTTGGCTGTCGAATTAGTGGGTTTTTGAGACCCTTTGAACTTCATAAGGCTCCTTAAAGCTAGTCTTTAGTGGTCCAGAGGGACAAGTCCATAAAGGACCGAAGGCCGTTAATTAAAAAGAGAGAGTTATCAAATTAAAATTATTAAAAAATTCAACTTTATAATATTATAAAAAATAAAGGAAAATTAGTGTCAAAATAAATTATTGTGTACTTTTAACAAATATTAAAAATTAAAATCACACTGAATCTCATGCCTAAATCCTAGGTAACTTTATCTTTTGGATTTTTCTTTTTTTTTTTTCCAGTAAAATTGCCGTTTAAGCCATTAACATTATTTTTTATCCTAAGTTACAAAATAAAGTGATTGCAATAATTTTGGAACATATATAATATACTTATCTAAATATTAAATTATATATATTTATACACACATAACAAATTAACTTATGAACCAAAGAAGTTAAACATTTTTTTAATTTAAGCTCAATTCATATTTTGTATAAGTCAAAAAACCTAAATTATATGTCACTCAATTAATTTATAAGCTTAATTTATTAAACTAATTATTAAATCAAATTATGAGCAATTGGGGAGCTAATTGAACTCATCACTATGCTTACTTGCATAGGTCCATAACAGTTCCGCTGTCCTTATCTTGGACCATTTATGTTATATATGCGTTAATAAAAATAAGCCGTATACAAAGCTCCTTTTTGGTTTTGATATATTTTTCCAAACAAAAATTCAAGCACCCATAAAACTACATATATGGACAGCAAGCAAGCCCCCCCCAGTATCAATGGGCAGCAAAGCAGCTTATTATTAGCAATTTTCACCCCCACGCCCAACCCATTTGGCAAGAGGACCACGTGGTGGATCCAGATTCCAGGGTATGTATGGACCTTTAACTTAGATGTTTCGTAATTTTGTAAAGTGTTTCTGTTTTGAAAAATATGTCTTCTTTTCCTTCATTTGACTTTCTTCGTGCCCTTTTCACAAAGTTTTGTATTCTTTCAAATAGTTACTTTACAAAGCCGTGTTGTTGCCATTGATTTGTTAAAGTGGACGTATTGCGTCGTGCGTCCCCGCACAACCCTCCCCCGCCATGTGAAAACTATAGAGAATAATTTAATGCCATGTTTGGGATGAGCGTTTTTTTAAAGGAAAATAATTTTCTTTTTTGTTTTCTAATTTGCACATTTTTTGTCAATTTCAGAAATTAAAATTTTGTTTCCCCTGTGTTTCTTTCAGTTAATTTGTTCCAAACAATCAATCATTGGTGTACTATGTTTATTCATCAATTCAAATATAAATTAGATCCCAAGTGCACAAATTGAATTTCCACCTCCAATAACAAGAATTATATTATTATTGAGCGTGGTCCAATAAATAAAATTGGTTTAGGATTCAAAAAATAGAGGATTTTTTATTTTCTCCCATCTAATTTAAATAAGATAATATAGAAACTCAACTCTTCTAATTCAACTTAACTCGTGCAAATTACCTTACTTTTCCTTTCTTATAGATTACATATGTCAAGATTGAAGGAGAGAATTAGATAAGATTAGAATAATAAACTTACTTTTAAGTTGAACATTGCTAGATGTTACAATAAGTACTTATTTGGTTACATAGTGGGCTTTACGTTCAAAATTTTAGCTCTTATAATATTTTATTATTATAATAATAATTCAAACAACTGTAATTTTTAAAAAATATATATAAAAAAATTAAGACCATTTAATTTGTGTATTATTTATATTAATTAATTAGGTAAATAACACTCTTTTTCATTTAAACTTGTTAAATGACATTCAATCTTATTCTTATTTTAAAAAACACTCATCTCTTTTAACTAAAATTAACTAACCATTTTATTCACTTGCCATTAAATAATATTAATTTAAAATATTAAAATTAATTTTTATTATATATAATAAAATAAATTTTTAGCATATAAATTAAATAACTCATTATAATAAAAAAATAGTAGTAAGTTGATTCATTCATTAAAAAGATTAATTTTTTAAATTTTAATATTTTTTATTTTTACATTACCTGATTAATACGAAAAATTATTATTTTTATAAAAATTAGAAAAATTACCTTATTAAATGCTTGACTTAACGGTAATGTGCTAGGTGGCAGGTGATAGGACTAGTGACATGTCTTCTTTACTATTATTTATACTTTCTTTTCTCCTACCACGTGCCTAAACATAGTCAATCTCAATGATTAAAGACCACTAACTATGATGAATGCATACCATTTAAGTGCAACCATATCAACTTAGGACCTGTCTGTTTGGCCTGTTTTCTGTTTTTATTTTCAATAAAAACAGAGAACGGTTAGAAAATTTGTTTGTATAACGTTTTCATTTTCATTGTTGGAGAACATTTCCTAAAATTTGATAGAAAAGAGGAAAGACAAAAAGTCGTTTTTCTGTTTTTTGTGGAAAGACGAAAAGGCGGTGGCATGGGTGTAATTTCCTTCATTTTCGGTGTCTCTTTTGTATCTAACATTTCCCAGTTATTGTACTCGCCTCCCATCACTCTCCTCTTGCATCTCTTTGCTACAGTGCCAGAACTAAGCACTGCAAAGGCGTCTCTCTCGCTTATCTCGTCTCTCGTCTGCACCGCAGCCGAACACTGCAATGTCACCTCCCTCATCTCTTTCATCTTGTTTGTGCACCGAACGTAGCAGATCTGAACACCTCTCAGCTTCGCAGATTCAGACATCATAGAAACCGAACACCTTTCGTCTTCGCATATCCAAACATCGCAAATCCGAACATCTCTCTTTCAATCACCCCCGCTAGCAAGGGCCGACTTCCCTGCCTCCATTAGCAGCAGAGTTGCAACGCTATCGAAGACAATCGATCTTCAAATTTCATCTTGTAGAGTTCGAATTTCGTCAAATTAATTGAGGGCTTTTGTGATTGGGATGACACAATGCAAAATCAACATGAAAATTACTTGAAAAAAAGCTTATGCAACGGCATAATTGAACTTGGGTCGCGATCAGGTCTGTTGGACCCGATCGTGACCTGGCAGAGGAAGGGACAACCTTTATAGTGTAATTTTATTTGGTCCCCCAACTATTTTTTCTTTCTTCAATTTGGTCCCTACACTCTTTAGATTTTGTTGTAAATTTTAGAATTTGTAATTTATTCAATTTAATCCCTACCAAGAACCCTAAACTTTTAATTTTATTCAATTAAGTCCTTATTTTCAATTTATTAAAAATGGATTAACCAAACATGTTTTTTTTTGTTTTCATTTTTTGAAAATAGAAAATAACAAATCTTACCAAAATATATTTCTAAATTTGAAAATTTTGAAATGAAAACTACTTTTCAAAAAATAGAAATAGAAAAAGAAATGAGAAAACATTTTCACAAACCAAACAGGCCCTTGGTTTCTTTTCTCCTTCATCACATTCAACTCTAACCAATATGACTATGGGTTCCTCCACTTCCAAGTAGCCTAAAATGGCTTCCTTGACGCTGCCATCAACCTTGCTATAGTCATCTTTGCCAAGTCAAAAATTTCTACCTCTTACTGCTTCATCAATGTTGTCAATCATTAGCTCATTAAAGAAATAGTCTTAGGTCTTTGTGATTCTATTAGAAAACTTTACAATCCCAATTTCAAATGATATATTTGGTATGGACCTCTTGATGCCCATTGGTGGGGTCAATCTCACCATCATTAAGTGCCATCAAATAGTCATTCTCTTCATGTAGTTTTTCCATGAAGTCTCTAGGCTACACTTCTGCAACAAATTTGATAAGGCTGTTTGGGATGGACCAAGGTTCCATTGTTAGTAACTTTTCTTAATTATTTGAAGTTTGAAATTATCTTTATATAAAAAAGCATAAAAATTGTGGTAGAAGAGCATGTCACTTGCCATATTCA